AAGCTCGTGTCACTTTTCCAGTCGCTGTAAATAGGTGACGGATCATTGACAGGCGTTCGAAGTTTCACCCAGCTGGCCATGGTAAAACTAGTCTTGTCAAAGTTAACCGCTGGGGTCGTAGCATGGGCACCCGCTCCGTCCAAGTACAACGACTTTTCCTCATTATCCTCTTCGTACCTTGCTCCATTGAGGAGGCTTTGAAAACATAAAAAAAGTACTTATTGTGACAACTTCAACAACCTCAATGAATACTCTTTGTATATTTAACAATAACCAAAGTCAAGGTAAATATCCCCCGTTAGCCACTAACACTGAGGTAAATAGTTGTTTTATTATATACTAAAACAGCGATATAATATAGCAGAAAGAATTATTTTAAAAGAACTTTATATTTTCTAAATAAAAAATGATCGGTCATCAAAATTAGAGCAGTTAACTCCACTTAGTTATGTAATATTGAGGAAATGAGAAGACAGGGGAATGCTTTGCTTTTTTCACGTCTCACCTGACGTCATTGTCGGTTCCATCCAAAAGCCAGCGTGCTATGATGTGATAAGGCTTTTCACCTTGAATTGCATGATACGATTTATGTGAACAATATTGAATTCAACAATATTTAACTTATTAACTCCCAGAGGTGATTAACATGCAATTTCTCCGGGTCATGTAAATACTTATACTTATCAGATAAAAGTTGTTATCTTGAGTTTACACTAAATTCTCTTAACTCGTTTACAATGAATTGTGTACCAGCTAGAGGGGAGGAATAACATTATGTGAATTAAAGGGTTAAGATGATTATCATTGATTAGGAGAGGGAAGGTGGAACAAGAGTTTTTTTTCCCCAAGGGTGAAAATAAAATCAAAGAACTATAGCTGAAACCATCTTGCGTTTAGATATTAGAGTCATAACAAACCCTTTAAACAGTTTCCTAATTGAAACTGAAATCAGTTTTCATGAGGGCTCAGTCTCTTTGACACGTTTGATCAACACACAACAATCGTCAAGTTCTTACTAGAGAAATCTTCAATTGAATGTCGAGAGTGATTAAAGTACACTGCTTTGCTTCAGTTCGTTTCGCGTTTGGTTTAGAAAACTTGCACGATCCCCTAAACCAATCAGATTCAAAACTAATACCAATCGACCAATGGCCACTCGCATTTTTCCGCGCTTCAAGCCGTTTACTCGTCTTTACTTTGAGTGCCCATTGGCTCCCAGTAAAATTATTCTTTCCTTGATTGGCTGTTGTTATTATCATGGTTTTTTTTTCACAACACTGACACTCAATGGAAGCAAATTTCCCCAGAAGTTAAAACTTTTTACCTGCTGCACTCGTGTCGACTTGACCGATTAAATTAGCGACAATATCATTTTCGTACGCGCGTATGATTGACACCAGCTCTCCACCAATTGAATTACAGAACTTTTTTGCCTGTCCCCAAGTTTTTCTTTCGTGAAACAACTTGATGCGTTTTGACCCGACCATAAGCCAACCATCAGGTAGGGCTGAGAGATAATTCAAGAAATTTTAGTAGGTGAAAATGAGGACTTTCGATAATTCATATATAAGAAATTACCGTCTTTGTAGGTACATTCTTCCAAGGTGCAGTGCGAAGTTTCCTACAATAAACACAATAAAACTGATTCAATTCATTTTGAGTCATGGAACATTCAATTATGGGGTGAGAGATTAAAATGATTCTATAGGTAGCAGTGATAAAGAATGTGTGATGAAGTGTCATTCTGAATGGCTTGCGTTGCATTTAACCCTTCAACTCCCAAAATCTGATTGTTTATTCTCCCCTCCAGCTGCTACACATTTCCTTGCAAATTAGTTGGGAGAATTTAGTGCTAGAGTAAGAAAACAACTTCTACTTGATAAATTTGGGCATTCTCATTACCTTTTTGCTGGATAGTGTATGGATTTTGTACGGAGGAGTTACATGTGAATCACCCTGAGGAGCTTAAGTTTAATTAACTTGGAAAGACACTCAAATACAGCAAGGAATGGAAGTCTGGCCTATTTTGAAGGTAAGGTTATATTTTTAAATACTTTTAATGAAAACATATAACTTTGTAGATAAAACATGCAACCTGTCTTAACAAATTCGTAGATTCTTTTTCCATAATGTATGTATTGCTAACAAAAAGATTGTTGATATTGACATGACTGAAGAACTGGGTTCTCCCTGCTTACCGTCAGTTGATGGTACTGGCTTCCGATGCTCGGTTGCAAATCTTGTGGGTCAGCGGTTTTGCTGGAATTGTTCAGCTCACACGTGACCCACCCATTGGGTAGCTTTCTGATGTTCACAGAGAAACACAGAGGAGAGTCCACACATTGCCAGTGACAAGCTACCGGTTGAAATACCGTGACAGTTTCTATCACGTGATTCTTTAGAGCCATTCCATCTTCTTTGGTGAAGTTTGCAATTTTGCATCCAGCAACGAGAGGTAACCAAAATAAGCTGAGCCACTTCATTCTGAAATTTAAACCCGTATTTTGGATAACCTAGTAAGATTGTCTTTGTTTACAAATTGCAGTTCAAACAAAAGAATACAAATTCGGAGAAGCGCATGAAAAACTGGTCTTTTCTCCATATTTATTAGCGTACGTCCATACATTCAAGCTATATTGAATTTATTTACCGAGCAATCGCATTTAGCCGCATGCAACTGATATTGTTTTTGGAGGTACTATAGCACTGGATACTGATCATAGAAATTTTGAAAACTAGAATAATTAAACTGCATAAAATCTGTGTTGTTTTGTTAAAGTTACATGCTGTTTTTGTGCACAAAGTATCAAATAGTTAACAGAAACATCTAACGACATGTGGGCAAGTTTACATCAAATTTGGCTAGCATAGTTAAGACCCACTTTGTAATATAACAACAACTTAAGCCAAATTCAACACCCGACAAATTCCATGAAAATGAGGCGAAAAACAAGATAAGAGTGAAAAAGCAGCTGCTTACGACCTGAAGGAAAGTTTAGAAATAACTGATGATGGCGAAGAGCCAAATTCTGAATGAGATATTTCGTTTGCTTTCACAATCGGTCTCAGTCTTGTATGATGGTTTCATTTCGTGAGTTCGGCAGCGTTTTGAACGATTCGAGTCGCCCTCTTGCTTTCACCGTTATTTCCGAAGAATGAGAAACTTCTTAACAAATCACAAATTTGGAAGTTTAACATAAGTACTCCTCCACTAACCTTTCCTATTTCGCGTAGAGTCTATTACATTTTCACTCTGAACTTATGTTTTTTAAGCCAGTCCAGAGGTGTTTCATCTGGTAAATAGACGGCGACGTTAACAGATACCAGTGCGATGGGAGAATTCTTGTAACTTTAGTTAATCTAGCAATGCGACTTTGGCTAAACCGATATGGACGTCTGTCTTTCTCAAGAATTTCTAGTTGGTCCACTCATTGTTGGGCGTGAAGTGAAAAATGGTAAGAATAATTTGGTTTTTATGCAGATGATGCTACTATTATTTCCAGTCTTAACAAAAGGCACTAATGATCACCACACCTCTCTGTTTGCGCGTTAATATTGCTTCCTTCACACCTGAAATCATCTGCTCGTTAATAAATGTGCTTTATGCACTATTTTGGGCCCGATACAAAGATAGGCATAAAAAAAATCTCTATTGGCATGCAGAAATAACGCCAAAGAATTTAACAAAGTAATAACTTGTGTGCCGTTTTGTGAAACACAAAAGGTAGACATACTGTGCTGGCCGCGGGTAAAATTTTTCCTAATTAGTTATTCCTTACACAATTTGTAAGTTCATGTCAAGCATAATAATTTTCAAACGATTGTCTAATGTGACAGATTGCTGGCTAAATTTAACCTCTTGCCTGACAAAATGAATATTCACGATGAGGACGCAACTGCAAATTTTCATCCCCAGAGCTCTGCGTTTTTTAGTAACACCTGTCTAGACTTTCTTATAAAACAAGTTAAATGTAAACAATTGGGTGAGATAATCCCTTCGAACTGGAAATATTTAATTCATTTCTAGCTCTAAAATTTACAAATTTTTCTTTCAAAATATCCCTCCAATCAGTCACAAACTTATTAACATTACACGTATCCTTGATAGCACAAGATTCTGAACTAATTGTAAGATCATTCTATTAAGAAATTGTTTCGGGTTACGCCTGAAGATAAAACAATGTAATAAGTTAGACATTGTTTTTGCCTTGTCATATCAAAAAATTCAGCTGAACTTTCCAATCACAAACCAAGCTTTATAAACACGTTTTATGCGATAGAGGTTGTTTAGCAGTTGTGTAATTTTTCGCTAATTTTCGAAAGAGGTTCAAGGTATGTTAAACTGATTATTATTTTCATCGATAGACGTCGAATATCCTGTAATTCTTAGCCCTGTGCTTAGTTAATTTCTATGAAAGAGTCTAGATCTTCTTTGTGGTTATTTCAATTATGTACATAAGATTACTCCATATGTACAGAGTGCGAATTTCAAATTTTAAATCATGAATAGCAAACCTGACACATAATAGAAATATCCAAAAACCTTACCCCTAAGCCAATGAAATTATTGCTGTCTCATTTGTTTTGTTCTCCACTGTGAAACGAAGCTTGGAATTGATGTATTTACAAACAATAACTGATGAATGGTCAGCAGGAGGTTTTAGTTTTGCCCAGCTGGCGATGGTGAAACTTTTGTAACCGAAGTCCACTGCGGTGGTTGTTGCGTACGATGAGGTAGTCCCGTTAAGGTGCAACATCTTTACACCATATTCTTTCACGTATTTCTAATCATTTGCGAGTCTGTTCAAAATAGAAACACATTTGTTGTGTTGTAAATGAGATATTTTTGGCTGTGTCGAAAATGTTCTGCGTTATTTCGCGCTTGAGTTCCTTCAAAACGAGTATAATTTACTTTTCACTCTTTGTATATTGACCCTTGTTATGAGTAATTTCACTCACGGGACGAAATCACATCTTTCCGTATTTCTGAAACGTGGCGGAAACATGCAACTCAATGTTTCCGTTATGTTTAACATGCACAAAAAGTGGTCCGGTTCCGTTGTATACGCAGCAACGGAAACGCGAGAAACGTCACGAAACCGGTAACGGAAACACAGGTTATCCGTCGTGTTTCCAGAACGGTTTAACATGTTTCTGCCACGTTTCCGTTTACGGATTCTTGCAATTTCGTCCCGTGACTCACCGTACATCAGAGTCGCTTCCGTCTAATTTCCAGTGTTTGATGACATTGACTAATTGTTTGTTCTCACCTCAAAAATCAAGATTCTTATCAGTGAATATGGCCCTTTATTTAACCCTTTAGCTATTATATCAAATTTGTAATTCTCCTTGCTGTCAATCATACAACTCTTATGATGTTACTTTAGAGAATTTAGCATTGGATCAACTAATTATCCTCAAATTGATATTTTTCTTTATTCTCATCACTTATCTGGTTGATATTGTAGTGATTTTGTAAGGAGAAATTCTGTCTTGATCACTCATGGGAGTTAGAGGGTTAAGCACAAGACTCTGAGAAGCAATTCATGAAGAAAGTAAAATACATTTTGATTTAAGTGAAGGAAAATGTTATTCAGTGGATGACAGGAATGGAAAATGTTATTCAGTGGATGACAGGCCTGGATGATGACAGACAGATTTATGCCAGAAAATTAAAGAACCCTCATTGAAAGTACTTCGTACCTTATTCTTGTTAGGAGCTACCCTGACTGTAAATTAAATAGTTTTTAAGTTCCAAGTATTGATATAGTTGTCAGTTAATTTTCACGCAAATATTAGTATACAGTTTTTAATCCATATTCACTTTATTTTGTTACTTATTCAGAATCACACCGAAAAAAAAGAGAAATAATAAAACAGACGTTTTTACAGATTGGTTTTCCACTACTTCTCATTTTTTGGGAATTATACGGTTATGGTATAACAGTATACATTTAAGTTCTGTGGATACAATTTACTTGAAGAGAAAGCAAGAATGAAATTATAGTTATTTAATTCCTGATTATTCGCTTACTGTCTTGATTATTATTTTGGGTCAGATTTTAAATCATGCATTTTCCAATTACGTTACATTATAATTTCATTACGTGCAACAGCTGCAACTTAGTTGACGGTTATTCATAACTGCCACTTACAAATATCCATACTAGTTATTGGCACTATGCATAAATCGGAAACGTTAAGTGCAAATATTAAAAAGTAGTCAGTGAGAACTTGAAACCAATGGAAAACTCAGTTTTCAGCTCTCTTTTCTGATTTTCATAAGGTTAAAATCGATTTAACTGAAAGTTATTTGCAGGTGTGAATGGGGTTCTAGCCAAAGCAAAATCTTTCTAAAAAATTTCGCTGTTTTGAATCGAGAATTTTAACTTTTGGGCATTTCTGAATCAAAGGATGTGACAACTCGGAGCTTACATTCTAAAAGAATTGAGACTTGATAAATGTTAGGCTTGTTTTTCACAAATAAATGGAAGTCGCCTCCCGCAGCTTGTGTCGTCCCAGGTCCCGTTAGAAATTATCATCGCGACGCAGTCCTGGTAACCATAGCTGTTATCTGGTTGACTGACAGCCCAGTTGGTGTAT